TCTATTGCGATATGAATTATACTTTAAAAAATTATTTATATATTTAATAATTTATTTATTTGCAGGTTCAACCAAAGATCGATCAGATTAATATAAAGAACCTTTGTTCTGTATCTCGTGAATTAATTGAATTTGGCAAGAAAAATGATGTAGAATTATTGACTCATAGTGATTCTGATGGTAAATTCATTTAATTATTTTTATGTGAATTTTTTTATAAAACAATTAATTAAAATGATACCTTGCTAATAATAATAATAATATAATATCAATTATCAGTAATTTTACCACAAGAGAATTTTCACAAGATTATAAAGGGATATACTGATTCAATGAAAAAAGCCACCACTGATAAAGTGTTAGATGGTTCTGATGAGAATGAATATGTGCCACAATGGGTAATAAAATATTCTGTGGAGATTAAATGCAGGGGAATAGTTGCCAATAAAGGGTAAGTGATCTATCATGATAATATGTTGCAATTAATGTATTATATTAATATTATTCTTATAATATCATCACAATAATTATTAGATATATTGTTATGGCAAGTAAATCTGAATCTAGTAATCTAGAAAGAAAATATAATTTGGGCGAAAAATTTTTATAATTTAAAATTGAAATTACTGTAATTATTAAAAAATTTGCTGTAATTATAAACTTTCTAATATAATAAATTAATTTTGTGCTGAGTCTTGTTTGTGACAAGTATAACTGATATACAATGACTATCAGCCTTGAACAGAATATCCCTTGTCAGATCAATTTATATGTTAATCAAGAAAAAAATTTTTTTTTCACTTGTTTATTTACATTTTTATTCATTTATGCCTTAAAATAATGCTAATAATAATTTTTTTTTTAATAATAGGCATTCACACAACAATTCTTGGCAAAAATTAAAAATAGATCGAGTTTATTATATTTAAATTGGCTATTAACGAGCAAAGGAAGTAATTATTTATTTTCTGGTGACAATTTGTTGGTGGATCTTTGATAATTACATCAATTAATCTTTTTAAGTCATTTTTTAAGGAATAGCGTCAGCAAAAGCGTAAAAGGACCGCCAAAGAAATAGCCTCAGCTAACACCTGAGTGACAAAGGAATTGGGTGATGAAAAGATTAAAAAATATATAATAAATTTTTTGTCAAATTTGTAAGCGTGACTTAAGTGTCTCTTGGCAACGTGATTGAACCAAATAAAGTGTAGGATCATATTAAACCATCAAGGTAATTCCTTCAAAAGAATTCTGTCTCTTTTATAATCCCTCATTCTAGAGAGTTACCCGACGATTTTATGTTATTATTATTAATAACAGGCATTATGTCTGTTGCAGGTTGGGTATTCGTCATCATTTGATTATTCTCTAGCTTGCGTAGGAGAATTCATCCGTGCTTCTTTGGGGAGTCAGATGAGAACAAAAATTTGTCAAGATTAAAGTTTAATTTGTAAACTTGGATTTTGACAATATTAAATTTAAAGCATATCATTTTTTTTTTTCGGTGATTAGGATGATCCAAATTTAAAAGAAATAAATTGGTCAAGTAAAGTAAAATGACAAAATCCATATTGTATTTAGAGACTTTTAATTTATATTTCAAAATATTGTACAATAATAAATTTTAACAAAGTTATAACAATAATAAAGTTTATAAATAATAATATTGATTTTCTTTAGAGTTACAGATGTACGCGTCACTTATTTCTCCAGTTAACAACAGACAAATCTAACTTTGTTAGACACGCCAAATATCTATTAATCTTTTGCTATTTTTTAATTTAGTTTCTCATTTTTCTCATTTCAGATCTACAAAGAATTGTAGATTATAAATTCATGTGATACCACATCTAATTCGCGGCAAACAAAAAAAATTTATCAGATTATTATTATTCATTCTTTTAGAACAGTACACATAATAATGAATTCATCCAAAATGGGGTTTTCTTTTCATCACTTTCCTATTACAAAGACCTTGGTAATGTATTTACATTTATTTTATATATTGTGTTGAGCATTATTTGATTTGATTAATAGGTTAGTAATTTTTATATTAACAGCAACATCAACAACTGAAAATTAACAACAACAAAATCAAAAACAAAAACAGTAATAATAATTTAAGAATCGAACGTGAAGCTAAAAACAAAGAAAATGCCAAGCCATCCTCTTCTATTAATAATAGTAATAATAATATTATTAGATCAATTGACCTTCCTACTAAAAAAAACGAAGATAATAGAAAAGATTTAATAATTGGAGGCTCATTGTCGTCTTGCTCATCTTTTGAACTATCTTCCGGACCTTCGCATTCCTCTCCTTCCTCTTCTACTTCGAATATTAGGTAATTTTCACTATTTTGGGTAGCAAAGTCAATGAGTGGATCAATGAGCCTATTAATCAATCTGATCACTTGTCCACTCGATCAATAGCCATAATGAACCAAAGATTTGGACATTAAACAATTTTGATATTGGATGTGGACTTGGTAAAGGACAACTTGGACGTGTTTATCTTGCAAGAGAGAAGACTAGTGGATATATTGTCGCATTGAAAGTAATGTCTATATCAGAAATTATTGATGCCAAGGCTGAAAAACAATTAAGAAGAGAGATTGAAATACAAAGTAATATAAGGTAGACAAGTAAATATTTAATTATTGATATAGGTTTATTAATTTTGTTATATTAATTGCCATATTGATTATCATTATAGACATCCAAATGTTCTACGTCTATATGGGCATTTCCATAATGAAACACACGTATTTCTAATTCTTGAATATGCAGCTAAAGGAGAGCTTTATAAGCAGTTAAAACAATGTACTAGATTTACTGAAAAACGCGCATCAAGGGTTTGTACATTTCATTCAATTTAATTAGTGTGTAAGGAGGATATTGATAATGATATTAATTCAAAAATAAATATATACAAATAATAATTATTAGTATATTGCTCAAATGGCAGGTGCTTTAGCTTATCTTCATCAAAAGCATATTATACATCGTGATATCAAACCTGAAAATCTTTTATTGGGTTCAAATGATGAACTTAAAATAGCAGATTTTGGTTGGTCAGTACATGCTCCCAGTCAAAGGTAATGTAATAATATATGCACTAATATCATTATTGTCCATAACATCCATTATACTAACATATCCTATCTAATAAAGACGTAGAACATTTTGTGGCACATTGGATTACCTTCCACCAGAAATAATCGAGTATCAAACTCATAATTCAAAAATTGATCTGTGGTCCCTTGGTGTTTTGTGTTATGAATTATTGTCTGGCTCTCCACCATTTGAGGAAGAAACTGGCTATCGTGCTACATATAAAAGAATTAGGAAAGTTGATTTTAAAATGCCTGAACACATTTCAGAAGATGCTAAACATTTAATTGGATCGGTAAAATTTTTTCTTATTTACAAAACAAAAAAAGAGTATATTATTTCTTTTATCAAATACTTTTATTTTCTTCACGCATACGAACATGCACAAAAAAATAAATCAAATAGCTTCTCCAAAGAAATCCCGATAAACGATTACCCTTGGAAGAAATCTTGAAGCATCCCTGGATTTTAAAACATAAGAAATCTACTTTTAATAATAATAATTATAATAATAATTATAATCACTATTGTTAAAAATTGTTTTTATTAATCTTGGTTTACAGTATATATATATTTATACAGAAGACATCATCAGAGTTCTGTTCATCAAAAAAATCTCCATAGGAGAAAAAGATTTTCTCGGTGGTTTCTTTTTGTTTAAAAAAGAATAACCCTCAATAATAGTGTTTTAAGTATTTCTTTTTAAAAATATCCAATTTGGACAAATTACATTATTTTTGAACCAGCCTGATCGCAAACTATATTAATAAATTTTTAAGGAATATTAGCTGTTAATTAAAAAGAATTTTCTTTTTGTTGTCCGTCACTATGAATAATAATATTACTAAGAGAAGTAACTTCGACCAGAAACCTTAGTGCTGTCCTCAAAGCATCTTAAATTACATAAAAGAGTTTGGTGGGTTTTACAAACAAAGTGAACATATATCAAAATTAAAGAACAAATTAATCACCGAGATGGACATTAACGAATCGTTACTAGAAGAGAATGAAACAATTAAAATCAAAAAAATAAATAATAGACGTGAAAATAATATCACCAATTGCAAAGTATGCTTGGATAAGTCAATAACACATTGCCTCACGCCATGTAACCATTTGTTACATATTTTTAATTTACTTTCTTTTTTACTTGTTATAATAATTTAACTTTAATACTGATTGAGATATTAACTGCTATTCATTTTCAATATAATAATAATATTTATCATCAATATAAAAGTTTATTTTATTGGATTTGATCAAGTTCAGAAACATACTTCACAAATTTACATTCTGCAACAGTTTATAAGTTTATAAAATATGAAAGGATTCTGGAAACTTATGGTCTTATTTATGTTTCTCTTGATTTACAAGAGAAACTAATTCCTTTACAAAATGTTAAAGTGATGTAAATGGTTTGTTATTCACAATTAATGAATAATCAATTAATAATTATAATTTTTACTAACAATATTCCCTCTTTGGATTTTAACATTGTTGATAAGATTACTCAAGGTAACTAGCAAGCAAACAAATATGTTTAATTATGACATTTATTATCATTTCTTATTTTTTTTTTATTGTTTAGTTGTAATCTATCAAACATATAAAGATGTAAAAATTTATGAAGCTGCAGCAATTTGTGATTTTGAAGCAGAAATTGATGGCAAATATAAAGTTAAAGGTGTTGTGAAAGAATTGATTAAGCTGTTGATGTAATAATTTATAATATATATGTGCATTAGTTAATAGACTAATTATTATTATTATAGAAAGGATGTTTATTTGCTTGAAGAATAATTATCAGATGTATTCCAATGCTCAATTGGAAATCTAAAAAGTAATCAGACGTAGTCATCAAAATCACTTATGTTGCTGAACTTAAACATGACTCAGAGAATGGAAAAATATGATTTTTTGCAAAAAGATATGGATGGATCTTCTTCAGCAATAAATTCAACAGCTAATGATGGTAAAAACTTGTACCTGATGATATAAAATATTCTGGGAAAGCAAATTATGAACTAGATTTAAAAGTTAATTGTAGAATGACCTCAGCCATTCAATAATTGAGTCTCCTTCTCTTACTCAATTGAATGTTAATGGCAATTCTTAAACTTCTAATGTTACTTTGGCCAAACATACAGTATTACTTATTTAAACAAAGATTTTGCTTTAGTTGCCATGAATGAAGATCTTGATAAGCCAAGGTAGTTTTAATTAATTAGCTAATTAATTGTTTATATGTGTATTTATTATTATTATTATTTCTATTTATTTATTAAGGCATCTCTTGAATATAATCCTAAAACAAAATATAATTGTTTAATGTTGACATCAAGGTTGGGTGACAAAAATATTTTGGAGTGTAAAAAGTATTTCGTCAAATGGGGCACATGTGGCGAAATGTGACGAAAGTGATGAAAAGTGACAAAGGGTAAAGTCAAAAGTCAAATTGTGATAAAGATGACGAAATATAAAATTCAATTTTATTTAGATTTAATTAAAACAAAAATTTAATTTTAAACATTTTTTTACATTGTAAATCATGTTTCTTGGTTGGATACTTAATTTTTGTACACAATGTTTTAGTAGGAATTGCTGCTTCACATCTATTGCTGGTTTCATAACTTTCTTCAAAATCTGTAGAATCATCTGATGATTCTGATTGTTGAAATGATACTTCATTTACTATTTTAATGGAGTGTAACCATACATCAAACACAGGACATCCTGTAGCTAATTCTTGATTATTGTTAAATGAACTTTCAGGTATATTATCTAATTTTAATGTTGCAAATTCATATTATATGATGATGATTGAGAAGGAATTGGTGAATTGGGTGAATTAGAATTTGACATCATGAATTTTTATTTTACTCCATAATTTAAAATCTACAAAATAATTGGTTTATTTTATTGTTTTATTGTTTTGTTGATTTCGTCACTTTCGTCAAATTACTCAAAGTTTAAAACCCCTATTTCGTCACATTTATTTTCGTCAGCAAACCTTGATATAGATTAATTCACCTTTATTGTGCAGTCCACCTATAATTTTTATAACAAATATATAAAATAACATTAGAGATTCTGTAATTATGACGTCACGAAGTGGCACCATAATCAACACGACATTTTTGCTCAACTAACTATTACTATGACCAGTGTCGGGGTTTGTGTTACATATTGAATTAGCCAATCAACGTTAAATTTTCTACCAGAAGGACAAATTTGATTGGCTAAATTCAATATGTAACACAAACCCCCGCACTCAATTTCAGACACTGACTATGACTAGTACATAGTAGATACTAATGTTGTTTCCCAAAGTTGTAAAAACTATCATGTCAAATTCACTGTCATTAAGTCAAAAATGACACAAGTAAATTGCTTTAAAGGCTAATAAAACCTAAAAAAACTTATAAATGTATATTCCAAGGTCTTTTTTTTCTTGAGTCTCCTTTGCTTCATCGGTTGTTTCCAGGGAGCTAAGTTTTTCTTTTATAGAATACAAATTCAGTTCACACACACTCAAACCATTGATGATTCGGTATTTATGTTCCAAGGTCGACTAATTTTAGTGTAATTATTATCAAATGAAAATTTACGCAAAAGCTTTTATAATTATTGTGTAAATAATTATAAAATCAATGTTGATTGATTAAGTTACTTTGTAATAACAAACCCATCTTTATCTTTATCCTTATTATAGTTATCAACGAAAAGGGCAACTTCTGGTCTTTGCTTGAAAAAGCATAACTTCGGTTCTTGCAAAGAATAATTAATGTAAACTTTGATAGAAATAAATAAAATTAATCATTAATAAACTTAATAAGGACATTGTCTTTATTTTCTTTGTTTAAAGCGCTTTGATAAAATAAACAATTGCAGTTAGTGTCTTGGTAAAAGGTTACATTCGCAAAGATTTGGTAAAAAGCCATGTCTATTTGCTTTAGTGAGAAAGCAAGCAAGATTAGGACTAACGTTGGGTGTTAATTAGTGTTGGTTGCCAAAACTATTTTGAAGAGGCGAAAGTCAAAACTAAAATTAAAAGTTATATGTCAAAACTAAGTCAAAAGTCAATAGCCAAAAATCAAACTAGTTTTGACTTTTGAATGGTTGCAAAACCCACTAGTTTTGGAAACCAACACTAGTGTTAATGAAGTATCGTCCAAAGGTTAATAATCGGAAATAGTAAACCAAAGCGAGTTTACAATCAGCCAATAAATGTAAACGAGGGTAAACAACTGAAAAAAATCAATCACAAGCGAATAAAATGAACTTTATAGCATTGCAAAAAGGCCATATTTATTTATTTACAGTTATCTGGTAACATTAACATATTCGTCTAGGTCCAAGAAAGAAAGAACCAAAGTAAATTCATAAACTAACTAATTGACAAGCATCGAATTAACTGACAAGAGTAGCCCAAAAGTTAAAATGATACCTCACAATATCACCATTTAACAAAAATCAGGAAACTGTAAAAAGTTTATTATTTCAAAACATTATTATAATTTAGCTTTGAAAAACAAAATAATGATAAAATAAAAAAAGATAATAACAAATTTATAGTGGAGATTAAATTAGTCATTCGTCGCATCTTTTCTTTTACTATTATTACTATAATCTAATATTAATTAATTAATTAATTAATCTTGTAATATTTAATATTGATAGTGATTAATAATGAAAGTTTTATTCACCTTTGTTGACATTCTAGAGAAAAGAGTTAAAATCAAGATCATTTAATGAACTATCATTACTCGTATAACTTTTCAAGCTTTTGGATTTAGCAATCTCTTCATCCAAAATTCTACTTGTATGATATGCATCTGGATGTGATTTGTATACTTGTTGCAAAGCACCACTACCACCACCACCGCTGCTGCTGCTGCTGCTGCTACCATCATCATTAAAATCAATTTCATGTTTCTTGATTTTAGAAAATTTGAATAACCTTTTTATTAAACTATTATTTTTTAAATTCCTATTTGTTAAACTTTTATTTTCAAGAGTTTCATTTTTAATAATTTCATCATGTTTATTTATTGCAAAATCGTAAAGCTCTCTACTAGTTGGTCTTTTTGATGAATCCACGTCCCAACACCTCTGCATCATCTGCACATAATCTTTAGGCATTCCAGGTGGTATTGGTGGTCGTAAACCTTCGCATATATCAAAAATCAAACGAGGATTGTGAGCTCTATCATCAAATGGTGGGTGACCTGCAAATATTTCCCACATTAACATTCCAACACTATAGATATCCGATTCTTTTGTGTTTTTTGTGTTATTGCCTCTAAGTAACTCGGGTGCAACATATGATACAATTCCATAGACTTTATTTGATGACTTTTCATCAACTGGTCCACATAACCCCAAATCTGT